AAAAGGGCCTGTACGCAGTTTCTGGGCCTGGACCGTGGGAAGAAGGATGGTGACGCCGACGAGGGCGACCAAAATGGCCAGCACCACGACCCTGCGATGGTGAAGTGGAGAAGACGCCATGGCGTGTTGGTTGGCGGAGGCGTGGGTTTGTTGAAGAGGGAGAAAGCGATAAAGACTTTTGGGTACAAGTACCTGTGTGATGTGGAACAAAAGGGCCAACGGGAGCATTCCATAACGTCAGCCAATAGCACATTTTCGAGGAGTTTATACGGAGGTTGGGAGCCAATAGGAGGAAAGTAAGAGTTGACTCCGCTCTTCCGTCGCTAAAAATGTGAAGATAAAGAGAGGGACAACAAAGATAGCGACGGATACCAAATATCTCAACCACGTAGCTGCGTGATCATGTTCCTCCTTCAGGGCCTGACGTGGCACAGCGACTAGAGCGCGCTCTTCTTGTGGGCCGCCGCTTCGCGCTCCTGCCTCTTCTTGGCCATGTACTGCTTCGCCAGAGTCACCGACGTGACCACACCGTGCTCGATGAAGTCGACCACGCACTCACCCAACTCTCTGGGCACCTTTCGAAAGGTGACACACACGCACCACCGCACACGCACGCGACACACACGACACACCACATGCAACACACGTCAGTTGAGGTTTGGGGTGCGCAGCTGGTGCACGCACTACGAACCTCGCGGGGGATGAGGTGGCCGACTCGGCTGAAGACGTGCAGCGAGGCCAGCTTGAGCTTCTCGAAATCGCGTAGGTTGAGGTGGAGCAGACCGTCCGCGGCTCCGGCCACCATGAGGGTGGGCACCCGCATCGTGTGCAGCCGCTCCATCACGTTGAACTTGAGCATCGCCTCCCACGCTCCTGTCGCACCGCATCGCACGCATTGCGTTGTGAGACACACACGACACACACGACACACACACACACACACACATCCACACGCACACACGACGCAAAGTAAGATACCTTCGAAATGACCGTTGGTTACGCTGAGCGCGACGGTGACACCGCGCTCGACCTCTTCATCACTGGGCGGCCGCGCGGCGAAGGCCTTGGCCTCCTCCGCGAGCCTGGCGCGGGCGTCGGGCTGGCTTCGCGTCCAGCGATCGCGCTCGTGGGCCTTCGGTGGGATGAACCCCAAGCCGTCAGACGGGATAGGCGCCACCAATATGAGCCTAGAGCGGTGCAACCATCAGCGCCCACACGCATCCACCGCACGCACGCACGCACGCAACACGCAACACGCACACGCACACACAGCACACTGCACACTGCACACACAGCACACGCACGCACACTCACGCACCGCTTGACTCGTTGTGGGTGGAGGAGAGCGAGGAGCATGCCGATGCCGCCTCCCATGGAGTGGCCGACAAAAGAAAATTGTGAGATGCCCAGTGCGTCGGCCAGCCCGACCACGTCGTCGGCCAAGCGCTCGAGTGTGAAGTCGCGGTCTTCAAACACGACAACGAGGCCATAAGACAAAGATGAATAAGCAGGAGGTGGCCAAGGTGGGGTGTTAGGAGGGAGAGCATACAATGAGCGTAGGTGGCGGTGTTGGAGCCGCTACCGCGAGTGTCAAAGATGATGCACCGGTACTGCTGCAGCGGCAGGTGCGCCACCATGGCGAGCCACACCAGGCCGCTACCCGTAAATCCTGGATAAAATCTTTGTAAAACAATTATATTGATTTTGTAAAGCAATGAACTATCATGCTGTACCGTGGTGCAAGAAGAGGGGTTCGCCGTTCTCATTGCCGCATGTGTGAAAGTGATACTCGTCTACTTCGTTAATGCCCTTGATTGACCTCCTCTCCGGCGTTGCAGCCATCTTCTTCCAATATAATTTATTTTAAAAATAAAACAAAATGCAGCGTGTGCACGCAGCCGAGGATGGAGGGGTTGAGGATGATGAAGAAGAAGAGGACGCACGACAGACGAGAGAACGGTCAGGAAAGGCAATGACTTTTTGTCTTCTGACTTTTTTTGTGGCCGAGGAAGTGGCACTTTGGCAGAAGTGGGCAACATCTGATTTGCGGGATCAGAAGCAGCCCGCACAGAAGCCAACAAGCTAATCGAGAGCTGTGTTAACACAGCTTAGCTGCACAAACACAGATAAATGGGATCATCCGTGGCGAAGGCACTCAAGGACGATTCGGACAGCGACGAAGATGATCGCGTAGGGGATAACGTGCTGGAGGACATAAACGACAAGCTGGCGCACACGACTGAGAGCTTGGCGGAGGCGATGGAGCGCAGACGCAAGGAGCAGGTAATCACTGATACGCGAAGGGCAGGCGAACGCATGCGCAAGAAGTACCATCTCGACCACAAGCAGGACACGCGCGACGATGACTCTGAAGACAGAGACAGAAAGGCAAAGAAGAACAAGAAGGTGAAGACGCACTCTGGATCCACAAAATCGACATCACACCACGATAATCCGAGCCCCAAGAAGAAATCGGAGGAGGTAGACGCGGAAGCGCAAATGAGAGAGG